CAGGTTTTAGTGCCATCCCAGCACTAACTAACAAACCAGACACAGCTAATCAACTAATCATCCATACCTTGACTATATCTGTTAACATACTGGATACAGCTAATCAACTAATCAATTAGACCTTGACCATAGCTGTTAACAGGTGTGTTAGTGCTGGGTTGGAACTAATCCCTGCACATCCTGTGGGTCCCAGGGACCAGGATTGAAGAACAGTGCTTTTAACCATTATATAGAATGAGTCCCAAATGGCACCTGTTCCCTATAGTGCACTTCTTTTCACATAGGGCTCTGATCAAAAGTAGTGCACTTCTTTTCACATAGGGCTCTGATCAAAAGTAGTGCACTTCTTTTCACATAGGGCTCTGATCAAAAGTAGTGCACTTCTTTTCACATAGGGCTCTGATCAAAAGTAGTGCACTTCTTTTCACATAGGGCTCTGATCAAAAGTAGTGCACTTCTTTTTACATAGGGCTCTGATCAAAAGTAGTGCACTTCTTTTCACATAGGGCTCTGATCAAAAGTAGTGCACTTCTTTTTACATAGGGCTCTGATCAAAAGTAGTGCACTTCTTTTCACATAGGGCTCTAATCAAAAGTAGTGCACTACTTTTCACATAGGGCTCTAATCAAAAGTAGTGCACTACGTAGGGGATAGGTTGCCATTTAGAGGCAGACAGAGTATAACCTATAAACCTAAACCTAAGGTACTGAGAAAGTTACCTAGCTATATTGTTACAACAATTAGAAAATAACGTGAAAACAACGTGAAAATAACATTCGTTTGAAATGGCAATATGAATGAATGTAAGGCTGTGTGTCTCAAACAATGAGATGAACATTCCAGAAGAAAAACAATAAAACAAGTCGGTTCATTCGTTCGTTCTGTACAATCTTTTCTCTTAACAAATTATCGTCAAGAAAGGCAATGGTAAAACAGTCTGTCCAAACGTGGTCCATCGCAGATGAACGACTCTGATTTGAACATGACGTGTAAAAAAAGACGTGATAATGCATATTTTTTTTTAAAGTAGGCTATAAAATAAAAGAACAACATGTACTACGGTAAGTTAGTATTCTGATGATTGACACGAAAACAAATCAATAAATACATTAATATATTAAATCAATAAATAGCATTATAAACGCCATAAATAAATAACCCAAAATAATAAATAATAACATCAATAACAATAACATAAATACCATTCAGATTGTGAAGAGAGATGTTCTTCAGTATTGTTGGGATTACTTATTGTAGTATTGAAAATGCTAGCACCCTATTCCCAATGTAGTGCATTACTTTGAAGGTCCAAAGGGTTCTGGGAAATAGGGTGCAATAGGACACAACCCCTGATTCCTCATCCAATCCATCCCATTAACCTACAGATGTTTAGAGTATGACACGATATGGTTAAAGGGTTCTAAAATTACAGTCATTTTTTACCAAATTTCCATGCAGACTTTCCAGAAATTCCAGTTGAAATATTCCCGGGATTTTCTGCTTATTCCCTCCTCGTTCCGGGACTCTTACAATCGGGATGTCTTGAAAAAACCTGCGTGGAATTTTGGGGAAGGTTACAGGAACTTTGGAACTCTAAATATGGTTCTAACAGAACACTGTTTGTTGGATGCTGACAGATTGATACAGTCAATAAAATGAAGTAGCATGCTTCTAGAATACTATGGTATTGTTCTAGAATACACTGGTATTCCATAATGAGCGATCTATTATTGTACTGACAAGCAACAGCACACATAATAATTTAAAAAAAACGAATTCGGAATCCTTGGCAAGTAATCAAAGATTAGGGGCTCGAGTCAATCCATAGCGCTGAAGACCTGCGCTACAGCGCAATAGAAATGTAAAGGCAATATTCCCGCTTTCATGGAGACTGCATAAATGCTGTATATGTCAGCTCAATCAGAAATTACAATCTCGTGGCCTCCGGAGTGGCGCAGCCATCTAAGGCATTGCATCGCAGTGCTAGAGGCGTCACTACAGACCAGTGGCGGACGGTGCCATTTAAGATGAGGGAGGCCAATTTTTTTTTTTTCATGAGCATGGCCTTATTTCTATTACAGCATATTAGATGAGATTCCATTCACCCAGCTCAATGTAACAGCGAAAGGTTTAGGCTACTACATGATACTCTAATGTTCCCTATACCCATCATGAGGTTGCTACAACCTAGCCTATGAATGAACGTTTACAACGTAGATACACAGGTCGAGAGACAAATTTGAGGTGACAGACAGTGACATTCACTCTTGCCCGCATCTAGCTGATCTAGGGTGTAATCATTAGTCCAACAGTTGTAACCGAGGGTTTCTATTGGACAAAGTCAGGTATGTCTATCCCCGTTTCGTTCCGTTTGCTTCCGTTTAAGAAACGTTTTTCAACAGAATCGGCGGAATGAATACACCCCTGATCACGCGTAAACACAGTTCACTTTCATAGCAGCCACGTTGTATTCCTTCTCGCGTCTATGCGCTCTCCTCCTCTCACCTCGTCCCTTCGCTTGTGGACTTCAGTGCACAACACATCAGCTGTATGTGACCAGGCGAAAACATATTTCAAAGCCAAACCGCTACACACAACCTACATCGTTCTCACCATATTAGTTAAAGTAACATCCTAGTCAACATAGCTAATAGAACTAACGCGTTAGTAAACCCGCTACAATCATGCAGTAACGTTACAGTCAGTAAGCAATTACACCGGCGGGCCCCAGTGGCAATAAATTAGTAAAACCAAAAGCTTAAGGTTACCTTGACTTGGAAGAGTTCCAGTGTTGTGTTGGATAGTCATAGCCAGCTAGCATCCCTCTGTTTGAGCAGGGTGTTTCAGTAGGCTAAACTAGCTAGCTGCATTTACTAGCTAAGTAAGTACAACTGAAAAAAAATGACGAAATCTCTTTCTCTCTCTCTCTCTCTCTCTTGCTTCTCCTTCATTTTTGAAGAAATTAATTTGTTCAAAACTGATCAACTATTGTCTTTCTCTCTCTTTGAGTCAACTACTCACCACATTTTATGCACTGCAGTGCTAGCTAGCTGTAGCTTACGCTTTCAGTACTAGATTCATTCTCCGATCCTTCGATTGGGTGGACAACATGTCAGTTCATGCTGCAAGAGCTCTGATAGGTTGGAGGACATCCTCCGGAAGTTGTCGTAATTACTTTGTAAGTCTATGGAAGGGGGTGAGAACCATGAGCCTCCTAGGTTTTGTATTGAAGTCAATGTAACCAGAGGAGGATGGAAGCTAGCTGTCCTCCGGCTACACCATGACGCTACCCTACAGGTGCTACCCTACAGAGTGCTGTTGAGGCTACTGTAGACCTTCTTTGCAAAATAGTGTGTTTTAATCAATTATTTGGTGACGTGATTATATTTAGTATAGTTTTATCTAAAAATAATAACTTTTTAAATAGTTGTACATTTTTATTTTCATAAAATTCACTGAGGAGGATGGTCCTCCCCTTCCTCCTCTGAGGAGCCTCCACTGCTACAGACCCGGGTTCGATCCCGGGCTGTATCACAACCGGCCGTGATCGGGGTCCCATGGGGCGGGCGCACTATTGTCCCAGCGTCGTCCGGGTTAGGGGAGGGTTTGGCTGGGAGGGCTTTACTTGGCTCATCGCGCTCTAGCAACTCCTTGTGGCGGGCCGGGTGCCTGCAGGCTGACCTCGGTCGTCAGGTGAACGGTGTTTCCTCCGACACATTGGTGCAGCTGGCTTCCGGGTTAAGCGGGCGGGTGTTAAGAAGAGCGGTTTGGCGGGTCATGTTTCGGAGGACGCATGCCTCGACCTTCGCCGCCCGAGCCCGTTGGGGAGTTGCAGCGATGAGACAAGATCAAAATTGGGGAGAAAAATACAACACCAACAACAAAAATACGGATTGAATCGAGCCCTGGGTCTAATATTTCCTCTTCATTTTTCTAATGAGGGGGTTGAAAACGCCACTGATGAGACTTAGTTTGCAAACAGTTATTGATCAGTATTAATAATAAAGATAATTTCACAAATATATATACACATTTTCTCTTGCGACTGTGTCTGTGTCCCAAATTGCACCCATATTCCCTATGTAGTGCACTACTTTAGACCAGGGCCCATAGGGAGCAATTTGGGACGCTCACAGTATTTTTTTTCGGAAAAAATAGATGGTTGATTATATACCTCATCCAAGCGTAACGTCGCAAGCTGCCTGATAGCTCAATCCATCAATCCATCAACCAATCATCAATAATGAATCGATTGATTGATTGATTGATTGGTATCTCTGTGGAGTATTAGAATAACCATAGCCACGTTCTTCAACAGTACTGAGCATTCCTCATTGATTTAGCAGACAACGATCCTCAATCGAAACAATCTATATAATTATTCTGTAGAATCCATAGCAGTATATGGGTGTAAGAGCAGATAAACTGGTTGAGATTGGTTTGATATTGAGCCGTGTTTGGAGACTTTTGCACGGGGGGAGGGGGGGGAGGGCAGTGACATCATTTTGGCGAGCCGAGAGTTAGGTTATGTCCATCTCTACACCCCTCCATCTCTCCATCCCTCCATCCCTCCATCTCTCCATCCCTCCATCTCTCCATCCCTCCATCTCTCCTCCCTCCATCTCTCCATCCCTCCATCTCTCCCTCCCTCCATCTCTCCATCCCTCCATCCCTCCATCCCTCCATCTCTCCCTCCCTCCATCCTCCATCCCTCCACCCCTCCATCCCTCCATCCCTCCATCCCTCCATCTCTCCATCCCTCCATCTCTCCATCTATCCATCCCTCCATCCCTCCATCCCTCCATCTCTCCATCCCTCCATCCATCCCTCCCTCCCTCCATCTCTCCATCTCTCCATCTCTCCATCCCTCCATCCCTCCATCTCTCCATCTCTCCATCCTTCCATCCCACCACCCCTCCATCTCTCATTCTTTCCACCTGTCTGTAAACCTTCTAGACCTTGAAGCAGTGGTTCTGTCCATCCCCCCTCCCTCCTTCCCACTACTGTAGGTATCTGTAGACCTTGAAGCAGTGGTTCCCGGAGTCGGCCACCACCACGTGTCCATCAGAGGTGAGAGCCAGACCCTGAGGTCCGTAGAGAGGGTCAGCTGATGTATTGATGTAGGACAGGAAGGAGCCACTACCGTCAAACACCTTGGGGGGGGGGATACTTATGTAAATTACATATATCTGTATTTAATTTCCAATACATTTGCAGAAAATGTCTAAAAACATGTTTTCACTTTGTCATTAGGGGGTATTGTGTGTAGGTCACAGGAGGCTGGTGGCACCTTAATTGGGGAGGACGGGGTCGTGGTAACGGCTGGAGCGGAATCAGTGGAATGGTATCAAATACATCAAACACGTGGTTTCCATGGTGATGCATTTCCATTGACTCCATTCCAGCCATTATTACGAGCCGTCCTCCCCTCAACAGCCTCCGCTGGTTTAGATGGGTGAGAAACAAATCCATTTAATCAATTTTAAACTTCAGGCTGTAACAAAACAAAATGTGGAAAAAGTCAAAGGGGTATGAATACTTTCTGAAGGCAGTGTGTACATACATGATATATATATGTACCTGTATGCGACTGTTGCCCCAGTCGGCTACGATGATGTTCCCGTTCACGTCGACGGCCACACCTGTAGGAGCGTTAAACTGACCGTTGCCCTCTCCATTAGATCCAAACTTCAGCAGCAGATCTCCCTCTGGGGTGAACACCTGGAAGGGAGGGAGGGAGGGAAGGAGAGATGTTTTATTTTCAACCAGGACTTTTTCATTCTACTGGGTTAACGAAGGTCAGGACTTTTTCATTCTACTGGGTTAACGAAGGTCAGGACTTTTTCATTCTATTGGGTTAACGAAGGTCAGGACTTTTTCATTCTATTGGGTTAACGAAGGTCAGGACATTTTATTCATTGGGTTAACGAAGGTCAGGACTTTTCATTCTATTGGGTTAACGAAGGTCAGGACTTTTTCATTCTATGGGTTAACGAAGCAGGACTTTTCTTCTATTGGGTTAACCGAAGGTCAGGACCTTTTGAATTCGAATGGTTAAGAAGGTCAGACTTTTTCATTCTATTGGTTACGAAGTCAGGTACATTTTAATTGCAATGTGGGTTAACGAAGGTCGGACTTTTCATTCATTGTGGTTAACGAAGCGCAGGACATAGGACTTCAATTGGGGTTAGAGAAGGTCAAGGACTTTTTCATTCTATGGTTCAACGAAGGTCAGGACATTTTCATCTTTGGTTACACGAAGGTCTCAGACTTTTCATCTCATGGTCAACACAGCAGGAACAGTTTCTCCATTGCAATGGTTAACGAATGTCAGAGACTTTTGCATTCGTTTGGGCTTAAGAAGGTCGAGAGGCATTTCCTCTATTGGGTTAACGACAGGTCAGACTTTTCTCTGTCTAACAGGTCAGGACACCTTGTAATTCAATTGGCTACAGAGGCCCAGGCTTTTCATCTTGGTTAACGAAGGTACAGATACCACCATTTAAGACATTTCAATTCAGGGTTAACACAAGTCAAGGATTTCATCTATTGGGTTAACGAGTCAGAGACATTCAATCCAATTGGGTTAACGAGTCAGGACTTTCATTCTATTGGGTAACGAGGCGTACATTCATTCATCGAGGTACGAAGGTCGGACTTTTAATTGCAATGGTGACGAAGGTCAGGACATTTCATTCTATTGGGTTAACGAAGGTCAGGACTTTTTCATTCTATTGGGTAACGAAGGTCAGACATTTTATTCTATTGGGTTAACGAAGGTCAGGACTTTTGTCATTCTATTGGGTTAACGAAGGTCAGGACTTTTGGGTCAATATCTGCTGGGTTAACGAAGGTCAGGACATTTTCATTCTATTGGGTTAACGAAGGTCAGGACATTTTCATTCTATTGGGTTAACGAAGGTCAGGACATTTTCATTCTATTGGGTTAACGAAGGTCAGGACATTTTCATTCTATTGGGTTAACGAAGGTCAGGACATTTTCATTATATTGGGTTGACGAAGGTCAATACTTTTTCATTATTTTGGGATAACGAAGGTCGGGACTTCTTTATTCTGCTGGGTTCACAAAGATCAGGACTTTTTCATTCTAATGGGTTAACAAAGGTCACATTTGAGGCTTTTAGTTGATCCACCAGACCTTCTGAACATTGGGTGGACATGAGAAGTTAGTTACCTTGACTGAGTGGTTGCTTAGTTACCTTGACTGAGTGGTTGTGAAAGTCTGTCACTATGATCTCATTGTTGTTGTTGACGGCTGCAAAATGAGGACCTGGTCAGAGAGAGGAGGAGAGAGGAGGAGAAGAGGAGCCTTCATCATCATCACTATCACCACCATCATCTTCACCATCATCATCATCATCATCATCATCTTCATCATCCACATCAACACACCTGCGAACTGTTTGTCTCCGTTGCCACGGCTACCGAACTTAGTAACGAGCTTGCCGGTTGGCTGGAAGATGAAGACGGTGCATGCCTTATTGTCAACAACGATCACATGTCCGTTCTGATCCACGGACACACCCTTCGGTCCCATCAGCCTACCAGAGCCCAGCTTGGCCTGACAGACAGATAACACAACCAATCAGAGGACAGGTTGGCCTGACAGGCAGATAACACAACCAATCAGAGAACAGCTTTGGCTGACAGACAGAGAACACAACCAATCAGAGGACAGCTTGGGCTGACAGACAGAGAACACAACCAATCAGAGGACATCTTGGGCTGACAGACAGAGAACACAACCAATCAGAGGTCAGCTTGGGCTGACAGACAGAGAACACAACCAATCAGAGGACAGCTTGGCCTGACAGATCCAAAATTGAAAAGTAACCTGTATGTCCCCTGTGTGCTCACCTTGTACTTGCCCTCGCTGGAGAAGATGCTGACCCACTTGTTATCGTAGTCGGCGATGATGATGTCACCGTTGGGGTGAACGGCCACACCCGTTGGTCGTTGGAGTTGCCCCGGCGACCGACCCCTCACCCCGAAACGACTCTTAAACTCGCCGTCATTAGAGAAGATCTGTCCGGGGGAGGGGGGGGGGGGGGGACAGACACACACACACACACAAACAATCAAACGATCAAAATTCTGCCACTGTGTGTGTGCGAACGTGCGTGTGTGTGTGTGTGTATTTACCTGTACACACTGGTTATTGCTGTCTGCTATTAGAATCCTGCCACTGGAGGACGCTGACACACCCTGTAGGTTAGTAAACTCTCCTTTATTCCTCCCCTTGGAACCTGGAGAGCACACACACACAGTAAAAACAACACCTTATTAATGGAGAAACTAGAGACAGAGAGAGAAAGCGAAGGAGAGAGAAGGGGGAGAGTGGGGTGATAGAGCAAGAGAGATAGAGTGGAGACAAAGAGAGAGCAGTAGATCTCTCTATCTCTATCTCCTCTCTATATTTCTAAGTCCCAGTATTTATTAAATATATTATATAATAATTATAATATATATATATATATATTATCTACTATATATAGAAATTATATATCTATTTATATTATTTTATTATATATATTAAATGAATATCTCTATTGGTATCTCCTATATATCTATCTCTATATATTTCATCATTAAAATCTCATAGCTTCTTCGTTCTCTTATGCTCTCCCTTTGTCGCTATATCGCATCTCTACTCCCCTTTTCCCTTTTAATTTCTTTCTCTCGATCTCTAGGTCTCCTTCTCTTTTCTTCTCTTCCCCCTCTTTCTCTCTCTTTTCTCTTACTGTCTCTCTCCCTCTCCTCTTTCTTCCTCCTGTCTTTCTCTCTCTTCTCTCTTGTCCTTCTCTCTCTCACCGACCTGAAGATGAGGTCATCTTCGATTTGGGTTCTCTCTGGTTGGGTTCCCAGGGCACTGCCCGTCCTCTGGACCCCTTCTTCTTACTCCCAGACCAGGGTTTCCCTCTCCCTTAGCCCCTAGAGGAGCCTTTTGACGGGGGGTGGCGGTGGCCGTCGGGGGAAAGGGGGGAAAATGTGGTGGTGGGGGGAGTTTCCTGGAAGGTACTTTTAAAACAGGACTAGGGGGAGGGATGGTAGCAGTTCCCAAAATTCGGGAAAACTTTTGCAAAACTCCCTTTTTTTAAGAAATATTTGAAAGATCTGGGGGGCCCCCAAAAAAAACCCTTTCTTTTCTCTCTTTTTTCCCCTTCTCTTTTCCTCTCTCCTCTCTTTCTTCTCTCTCTTTTCTTTCTCTCTCTCTCCTCTTTCCCCTTCTCTCTTTCCTTCTCCTCTTTTCTCTCCTCTCCTCTCTCTTTTTTCCCTCAGGATCATGGGCCCTGGTAACTCTGATTTGGGAAGGGATTTCCCCTTTGATGTGTGGTCATAGAGCCGGAGGGGCCAATGAAAAACTCCCCTTTCCGGGTTTACGGTTAAAAAAAAAATCAATGCCCGGTTTTTTTTGGGGGTGGGTTATCTCCCCGTCCCTTTCCGCTACCACCCGGGGGGTCCCAACACCGGGGAACAAATAAACAACTCTTTTTATCCATGTAGGGCAATAGATGTAATTTAGCATAGCATGCTTGGGAATAGCGTGGCATAAAGTTAAAGTTATTTAATAGGGTTTTGTTTAAACGGGGGGTGGGTGGGGTGTGTGGTGGGGTTTGGGGGTGTGTGTGTAAGGGGGGTGTTTTGGGGGGGTTTTTGTGTGTGTTTGGTCCCCCCCCCTCAGGGGAAGGGGGCGTTGCCGCCCTGGGGGTTTCCCCCGGCCCCTTGGGTCTATGGCGTTATGGTTACGGGGCGGGGGGAACCCAAAGATGATGCTCCACCCCCAAAACCGGAAAGCCTCACTTTTGGCTCGCCCCCGGGGCGGGGACGACAATTTTTTTTCTTATTTTAATTTTTTCATTTTTTTATTATTATTTATTTTATTTTGTTTTTTTCCTAGTTTTTTCCTAAACCCAGAAAGGCCTCCGGGCCCCCATTGATATAAAATTGACCGGGTTTTCCCCCATTGAAAAATTGATTGGTTGATGATTTTCCCCTTTAAAAATACACTGCCCTGGAAAGTGATGATAGTCCCCACTGAAAATACAAAACCTGGTAGTGTTTATAGCCCCCAAATTGAATACACGGCCCTGGTAGTGATGAACCCCATCGGATATACACTGACCTGGTAGTGACGATAGTCCCCATTAAATATCCACTGCCCTGGTAGTGTTTGATAGTCCCCATTTAACACTAAAAACCGGGTGATGAAGCCCCCAATTTTATATACAGCCCTGGTTGTGAGAAGTCCCCTCTGAAAAACCCTGACCTGGTAGTGATGATGGGGACCCCATTTGATATACCCT